GAGCCCCCGTAGCCCTTGACCCTTGACGATATATTTTATTTGTCTATTGCACACACATCTTACATCTTGTCATTATGAAAACTGTGTCTGGACGAAAAACTTGAACAGTTTTTAGTTAAATTCAACAATTGTTAAGCATATTTAACATGATATTCAACAACTGTTATGCATATCTGACATAATATTCATAAACTTTTAGGAATATCTAACATGATATTCGACAGCTGTTAGGTATATAATACATGATATTTGACATCTGTTCAGAATATCTAACACGATATTCAACAACTGTTAGGAAATCTAACATGATTTTAACAACTGTTAGGAATTATTAATATGATTTTCAAAAACTGTTAGTTAAATATCTAACATAATATTCATTAAAAGATAAAAATATCTAAGAAGATATTCACAACTGTTAGGAATATTTAACATGATATTCATTAACTGTTTTAATATCTAGCATGATATTCAACATATGTTATGCTTATATAACATGATATTCTACAGCTGTTAAGAATATCTAATATTATATTCAACCAACGTTAAGAATATATACACATCTGTTAGGAATATCTAATATGATTATTAGCGACAGTTAGGAAAATAAAAGGCTAGGAATTTTAATATCCAACAAGATATTCATCAACAAATACAAATATCTAACATGATCATTAAGATCATTACAGAAGTGAAAATATAACTTCATATTCAACAATTGTTAGGAATATCTAACGTCATATTCATATTAAGAGGATCACCACAAGCAGTTCAAGTTTAAATTCGTCCATCAATTCTTCAAGAAAATCATCATTGGGATCAGAACCAGAACCCAGGTATAGAACCAGAACCTAGGTAAAGAACCTGCAGAACCCAAGTATAGAACCAGAACCTAGGTAAAGAACCCAGATATAGAACCAGAACCCACGTATAGAACCAGAACCCAGGTATAGAACCAGAACCCAGGTATAGAACCAGAACCAAGGTATAGAACCAGCATCCAGGTATAGAACCAGAAACTAGGTATAGAAGCAGAATTCCCAGGTATAGAACCAGAACCAAGGTATAGAACCAGAACCCAGGTATAGAACCAGAACCTAGGTAAGAAACCCAGGTATAGAACAAGAACCCAGGTATAGAACCCGAACCCAGGTAAAGAACCAGAACCCATGTATAGAACCAAAACCCAGGTATAGAACCTGCAGAACCCAGGTATTAAACCAGAACCTAGATATAGAACCGAGATATCGAACCAGAACCCAGGTATATAACCAGAACCCAGGTATAGAACCAGACCCAGGTATAAAACCAGACCCAGGTATAGAACCAAAACCCAGGTATGGAACTCATGTATAGGACCCAGGTATATAACTAGAACCCAGGTATAGAACGCAGGTATAGAACTAGAACCCATGGATATAGAACTAGAACCCAAGTATAGAACCCAGGTATAGAACTCAGGTATACAACTAGAACCCAGGTAGAGAACTCAGGTATAGAACCAGAACCCATGTATAGAACCCAGGTATGGAACCAGAACCCAGGTATACAACCAGAACCCAGGTATAGAACCCAGGTATAGAACCCAGGTATAGAACTCAGGTATAGAACCCAGGTATAGAATCCAGGTATGCAACCAGAACCCAGGTATACAACCAGAACCCAGGTATACAACCAGAACCCAGGTATACAACCAGAACCCAGGTATACAACCAGAACCCAGGTATGCAACCAGAACCGAGGTATAGGACCAAGGTATACAACCAGAACCCAGGTATGCAACCAGAACCCAGGTATGCAACCAGAACCCAGGTATACAACCAGAACCCAGGTATAGAAACCAGGTATACAACCAGAACCCAGGTATAGAACCAGAACCCAGGTATAGAACCCAGGTATAGAACTCAGGTATAGAACCTAGGTATAGAACCCAGGTATAGAACTCAGGTATAGAAACCAGGTATAGAACCCAGGTATGCAACCAGAACCCAGGTATACAACCAGAACCCAGGTATGCAACCAGAACCCAGGTATAGGACCCAGGTATACAACCAGAACCCAGGTATGCAACCAGAACCCAGGTATGCAACCAGAACCCAGGTATAGAACCAGAACCCAGGTATAGAACCCAGGTATAGTTTTTAATTTCATTTTTTAACAGTTGAGATTTCTGGCTTTTAGGCTGTGTCGTTTTTATATATTAATAACTTGAACAGATTTAGAAGACGTGAAGCATATGATTTACAGTCTGGAGGAAAAGAAGGAAGTACAAAAACTGAAAGTGGAAAGCGGGAGAGGTCAGTTTTTAAAGAGTTATTTATCAAATTCACAATGGTACCCTTTTAACCTTGTCGCTTATATGTTTAATGGCGGTTCTCTATTAAAATGACCTGTTCTAATGCAAAAGAGAAAATTGGTAAAGTGTCCCATTGCGAATCGGGCTTATTTCCCCAGTTGGCTTGTTTATGATTTGTGAACTAATCACGCTTTTTCCTATTACCTGTAAGTGTGTAGGTGAGGTAAAGTGATGGGCATCAAGGTGTTACGACATTTCAAAGTTGACGCGGTCTTAAAAGTTGATCAAAAATTTCATGTTTTTTTTTCTGATTCACAGTGCTAATTTTTGCAACCTTTGAAATAAACTTGTTTAGCGGGTGTTGGGACACCCTTTGTAAAGATAGATTATTATATATATTTGATAAATGAATACTATATTGTTTTTGGTTTTAAAAAGGACTGTAAGTGTGATTTCAAATGACCCTCCATGCGAAGATGGCCGAACCCGATTCACACAACAGTACTCTTAAAAGCTTTATCTAATCAAGTATGAATTAGATATTTTAAAATTTTGATTATTTTCGATTGTGTTTTTTTCTATAATTAAGGAAGAGTTCGTTGTGAATCGGGCATTGCCAAATTTGCTTAGGGGGTCAATTAATAAAATTTAGCTAACAGTCCCTTTGAATTAGTTTACGTTCAGGCATTTATACAGGCAGAGGGCAGTAATCAAAAGCAGATCAGTGGAAAATATTAAGTTTTCTTTTTCAAGGTAAATCACATAACGTTCAGAGCTGAAAACTTTAGAATGATATATCCTTAATCTCGATTACTTAATTTGAGTATCCAATGGACACACTTTTGATTTTCTTCTTAAACCGTTCTTTCTTTGATAAATTAGAAAATAAATCAACAACCGGTTTTTCAAAATTAGAGAGTCCGTCCCATTTCTGGTATATAATCTTAAATGGCGCGCAAAATTTCAAATTTATCGGCTCCATATACACGACTCTGATTGGTTGAATTTTATACACTTTTCAGGATACAAGAACAAGATTAGGTTAGTCTCGATAAAAGGAAAAAGAGAGGATCAAGCATTAATCTCGATATCCACCATTCTAAAGTTTTCAGCTCAGTACATTTTATCAATTAATTATGACTTATGATTAAATTTTATGGCATTAAAGCAATGATGTTTATTACAAAGCAAATAGTTTTACTTGCAATTTATAACATTAAGTAAAATTATTGTATTTTTTTTTTATTTTGCTAGGTCCAGAACTTCAGAAAGTGCAACATCTTATTCACAAGATCTTTCAGACAATATAAGCGATGATTCAAGTCTAGAAAACTTTAAGGTGACATTTTTGAAATTACTTTTTATTCTCATTCTGGATAGAAAACTATTAAATTTATTATTTTATTTTAGGCAAAAAGTAGAAGAGTCGGCAATGATAGAAACTTGAATAAGGAGAATTTTCACATAGGAACTGGATCTACTAAAACTTAAGTCAAAAAAGAGAAGAGTTTTTTTTCTAAAAAAATTAAAACATTTTAAATTTCTTTTGATTAATTGGTCATTTTATGATATTCAATACGTCGATTATAACTTAATACTTAGAATTCTAAGTCTACACTAGAAGGAAGTGAAACATAATTCGCATTACAAAGCAGCATTCAAATTTTGAAAATATAATTTCAATCTGTGCATCCTGTAAGTAGAGAATCGGCGGTCAAGAAGCCATGAAAAGAAAGAACACAAAACTCCTCAAAAAGGCGGGGAGACTGATCGCCGCCATTTTGTAAAACAGAGACCCAGCAGCGCGCCACAAAGACGACCTCTTGAAGAGAAAAAGTTTAAATCAACGGTTCCTCAACCTTTTCAAATGACTTTAAGGTAATATCAAAGAACTAGTTTTGTTCATAATCTTTTCCCCCAGTTCAACCGGTGTAGAATTTTAGGGGGCTAGGGGGTTAAGGGGGGGGGGGTGCCTGTTTTTTTGTCACAACACTCCTATTAAAATTCATTTGTCTTGTGTTTTATGATGAGAATGAACAAAATGAATATATTCTGATAATCTTTTCATTTACAAACATCGAATCAATTGTAGCTTGCATTGATTTATAATGATTTCAAGTTATGATTACTTTTCCTGTTCATATATTTATATATATATATATCCATGAATGGATCCTGTAAACCCGGAATATATTTATAATATCGTCTTTGTTACAGAGAACTATTTCGGGGGGAAAGTATATAGATACTTTTTAGCTTTTTTACATAATATTACAACGATTCAGGATAATCCAGATATATAAGTAGATTCTAACAACCATGCGCCACAAGCCCGCTTAAGTATTGGTTCGGGCTCGGATTCGTTTATAAAATATCCATTTTAAGAGTTTTCAGAACTTTAACAAAATATAAGAAAATGAGGTTTTTGGTGTAAACTTAATATTGCNGATACCCTATTGTGCCACCATCCCCATAAAAAAGACCATTCCCTAAGAAACAAAACTATAATTCAGTATTTTGCATTTAAAATCTTAATATTTTTAAGGAAAATTATGAAAGAAAAGCTTTTTATAAAATGTAAATTATCCAGGCAAAGCCGTGGAGAACGGAGACCTTATTTACTTTTTTAAGAATTAAATAAATTGCGTTTTGTTTAATGGATTTTGAATAACAGTTTAGTTCCGACATACATAAATTGAGAGTTTATCGAGAGTATTCAGATATATTTATGACATCCTAAGCTGTAGCGAGTTTATCACGCCATTTCAAGACAACCATGAACAAACTAAGCTTTAGAGAGATTAGCGTGAAACATTTCGACACAGCCATAGACATACTTAGCTAGAGAGAGTTTAGCGTGATTGTTCCGATACAGTGAGGACATACTTAGCTGAAAAGAGTTTATCGAAATTAATCCGATAAGCCCGGACAAACTGAGCTATAGAGATGTTAGTGTGATCTTTCCGATACAGTCCGGGAAAACTGAGCTGTGAAGAGTCTAGCGTGATTATTCTGGTACAGCCCCGACAAACGGAGGTGTAGAGAGTTTACCGTGACTATTCCGATACAGCCTGGACATACTTAGCTGCAAAGAGTTAGGCGTGAATATTCCTATAGAACCCGGAAAAACTGAGTTGTGGAAAGTTTAGTGGGATTTTTCTGATACAGCTTGGACATACTAAGCTGTAGAGAGTTTAGCTTGATCTGAGCTGTTGTGAGTTTACCGTGATTATTCTGATACAGCCTGGACATACTAAGCAGTAGAGAGTTTAGCGTGAATAATTGTTTAGAGAAGAGATGAAGAGAAGTGAAAGAGAAGCTGCGATGAAACTACTTCAGGAAACAATGGAACAGGTTTGAATACTATAATACTATAATTATGTTTCTTAAAAGGGACTGTATACTGTATAGATGGCGCTCCACAACACAGTGGTCAGTGGCATGTTCAACGGTACGATAACAAACATTGTTTCATTAAGATTGAATGAACTTTTCTTGTTTCTCAAATTTTAAATTGAAATAATAATAATAATAACGTTTATGGCTATAATATCGGTTAAATTTACAAAATTGTCAGAAAATTAAAAACATGTATATGTGAATGTACAATATTGATACAAATAATATTTTCTTCTATTTAAAATAGCAAGGATATAGCTAGCATAGCTGTTTGAATGCTATATCCTGAAATAAAAAAAACATGACGGTGTGAGACCATACAACTAGTAAGGGGAAACCCAGATCAGGAGTTGGGGGGGATCAGAGACCAGGGGTTAAAGAACAACACCCACCTTGTAAAAATAAAAGATATGACGGTATCATATTCAATTTCTGTTTCTTTAAAAAAGCGAATTGCGGATTTCTGCTTACAGAAACTATGGTGTTAATTGTCAGACTAAACAACGTTTTATATTAAACATTTCCAGGTCTTCATAAAATCTTTTCTTTTTTGGGTAATCCAGTATGCATTGTTTATAATTAAATTACTATTATTTTAAATATTGTGTTTTAAATTATCTTTTATTTCTATTTTTATTTTATGTTTTGAGTAGAACCGAAACTTCTTTAATACAAAATAACAATTATGCTAAAAATGTAAAAGGGGGAGGGGTCGAATTCGGCACTTTGTGACATAAAATTGTGTACGTTTGGTCCTAATAATTAAGATAGAAGGCTGAAATTTTCCATGTAATGACCTCCAAGAATGGTCAACATATTTAATTAATGAAAATAAGCCTTGTGGGGTATCAAGTTGTAGGTTTTTTTTTGTGTTCCGATTCCATTCTGATACTCCTTTTTTACCTCAGATGGTCCTGGAGGTCGTGACCTCCAAAATTTGCTTATCTCTGGAGGTCAAGATATTAAATCAATGAAAATAAGTCATGTGAGGCATCAAATCATTGGATATTTGGTGTTCCGATTCAATTTCGATATCCCATTTTTGACCTCAGATGATCAAGGAGGTTGTGATCTACAAAATTTGCTTACCTCTGGAGGTCCAAATATAAAATCACAAAGAGTACAGGTAGCGAATGGATTCATTCTACATTTTCTGCACCTATATCTATAAATTAAATATTAGTTTACAATTTACTCGTCATTATCATAAAACCAATAAACTACATAATATCTTTTTCTAATGTCAGGAATACCGCAGAAATGGAAAATTTCTTCTAAATTTTTTTTCGCTGATTTTCTTAATTATACATAAAAATTAAAATTAAAAAGATATGTATGAAACATCTTAACTAGTATATAATTCTTTTAACCAATTAAAAGAAACAACAAATCCTTTTTAATACTTCTCTCTCAGGCATGAAGTTCTTGTTGATTGAGTGTATGTTTTTAACGTATCGGAATTAACAACAAATTATTGTTTTCTTCAAAACAATTAATTAATTAATTAATTAAAATTTAAATATCTACAACTGTACAAATGTCACTATTTGTTACAACAACAAAATTATGTTCATCATTTAGAATGTCATTATATTGTTCAAAACAATTAAATATGTGCACTGTACAACTGTACAACTTAACTAGTATAAAATTCTTTTAACCAATTAAAAGAAACAACAAATACTTTTTAAAACTTCTCTCTCAGGCATGAAGTTCTTGAGATTGAGTGCATGTTTTTAACGTATCAGAATTAACAACAAATTATTGTTTTCTTCAAAACAATTAATTAATTAATTAATTAAAATTTAAATATCTACAACTGTACAAATGTCACTATTTATTACAAAAACAAAATTATGTTCATCATTTAGAATGTCATTATACTGTTCAAAACAATTAAATATGTGCACTGTACAACTGTATAACTGTAAAAATGTTACTTATTTGGGTTTAAACAACAAAGTTATGTACATCATTTAGAATGTGATTATACTGTTCAAAACAATTAAATATGTGCACTGTACAACTGTACAACTGTCAAAATGTTACTTATTTGGGTTAAAACAACAAAGTTATGTACATCATTTAGAATGTGATTATACTGTTCAAAACAATTAAATATGTACAACAGTAAAAATGTTACTCTTAGATTAAAAAAAGTTTAGTATTGGATTCAGAAAAACAATGATTTAAGACATAAAAGGCCCCATTTTCATTGATTTTATCCTGACGACCTCCGGAGATCATTGATATTTAGAGATCAGCAACCTTTAGAACTATCCAAATTCCAAAATGGGTATTGGATTGGAATCGGAACACAAAAAACCTATGATTTGATACCTCACATGACTTATTTTTATTGATTTAATATTTTGACCTCCAGAGGTAAGCAAATTTTGGAGGTCACGACCTCCAGGATAATCTGAGGTCAAAAAGGGATATCGGAATGGAATTGGAACACCAAAAACCTATGATTAAATATCCACATGACTTGTTTCATTGTTTAAAATATTTAGCAAGTTGAAGAACCTGTTCCTGTACCGACCTTTAAACCTGTTCAAGTGCCAAAACATACAAAAGTTAATTTATTAGGTAAGTATAAAATGCTAGGCTAACAGAGCCATTCTCTTCGATAAAACAATAAATACAAATTTTTGAGAATTTACAATTTTTATTCATGGATTTTCAAAATTTTTGTAAAATTAAAATTTTTTGAGACAATTTTTTGCAATTGCAATTGCAATAAAGGGAGATCCATAAAAACTTTGTTATATTTAACTAAAAAGCGTTATATCACATATTTGTGGGAATCATGATGCAGGGTGTTGCATCTAAACCACCAAAATTTCTTTACGAGAAATATCTTTTTTAAAAAAATATGGAAAAAGTTCTTTTTATGATGTGATAATGCACGATTTTATTCATAACCGGGAAATAATTGGACAGGATTTTAAGCAAAATAAGAAATTAAATTGACACTTATTTTAGGTAAAATAGAGAGAGAAAAGGAAAAACGAAGAGAACAGAAAAAAATTGAAAGCACTCAAAAACTTTTAGCAACAAAACCTTTTAGGTGATTTTTCGATTTATTTGTTTCATGGGGTTTTGCGGTCATTTATGCCAGAAATAATTATAAAATTTGTTGTTTCTTTGAACCGCAATTTTAGTAAATTTAAGCCCATATCAAGTTCCACTCACAATTTAGGCTCATACGGACTATTAGTTTTAGTTTTGACGTTTATTGGAGACCACAAACAAACATTATTAGATGTATTGCAAACGTTATCAAAAAATATTATTTTTTGAAAAATTTCTAATCAATGCGTCCCGAAATGTTATTTGATGTCTTCTTCTGTAATTTGTTAAGTTGTTAATATTCAAAGAGAATACAAAACTATATTTTATAATTATTTGTTATTATTATAAAATATAGTTAAATATATTTAAGTAGATAAACGATTTTTTTTCTTGAAAATAACTGCAAAAACTCTTAAATCAATTATTTTTAGAAGAAGACATTTTAAACTATTCACCAACTGTCATGTGTTATGAAGTTTGTATTGTGTATAGATATAAAATGTTATCAAAGAAGAAAGATGATCACTATTTCTTAATGTTAACTCGACAACAAATTTTAATTGATTTTTTAATAAAATTTGATTTCTTTTATAAAAAACGTTTTATTTTGTTTCAGTTTTATGACAAGAGATGAAACAAGAAAATTAGGAAATCAGCAATATTTTTTAATTCTAAAAACGACATTTTTTTAACCATTGAATTTCTTTTCTTTCCCCCCCCCCATATTTTAAAATATTATGTTAATAGAAAAGAGTAGTTCCACACCGGACTTCCGGCAAGCTAAACTGATAAACCAATTTGAGGAATATGTTACAAATACAATTTTGCGAAAATAAAAAAATTATGATTATTTAAAAAAAAACAATTTTAATTTTTTTAACATACCTTAAAATCATTAGGCTAAACCGTTTCCAGAACAGATCTTTACAAACTTTGCTTACGAACAAATCAGGTAAGTTAAAGAGCCTTTCCAAGATTTTACCAAAGAAGTATAGCCGCAAACTCTATTGTCTAATTCCTATATGTTTGTAACCCGATGTCGTAGGACCGTAGATATTCCGTAGATATTCACCCTAAACTAAGCTTACGGTGTGCTGCGATCTGGAGTATTCTGACCGAAGAAATAGCGGGGTTTAAAGGGGAGAGTGTATTTTAAACTATGATTTCTATTAGTTCAAATGATTTAAGTTGGAAATATCAAAGTTTTAAAAAATATCAGGATTAGAAAATTTGAGTTTGTTGCAAAGACTAAAATCCTTTTTGATACCACGAACAAAATACCGCTCAATGTTGTTCTTTAAGGCCATCTTCTTTTTGGAACAATTAAGAAAGATGAGAAGTCTCTTTACTTTTGACTATCTAGAGAGCGTGATGAGTACCGGCAAGTTCAAAGAAAGCTCCGCCAGGAAGCTCTTCTCCGTGCAGCTGCTTATCCCCCCAGAATGCAACCACAACTTATCAGGGATTCATGTTATTAAACTTTTAGACAAATATAATATTCTTTACGTAGAGAGGGACCGTCAAATTCGTTACAAGGGAGGGACCGTCAAATTCGTTACAGAGGACGGACCGTCAAATTCATTACAGACAAGGGACCGTAAAATTCGTTACAGAGGAGGGACCGTCAAATTCGTCACAGAGGAGGGACAGTCAAATTCGTTAGAAATGAGTTATCGTCAAATTTGTTACAGAGAAGGGACAGTCAAATTCGTTAGAAATGAGTTATAGTCATATGTGTTACAGAGAAGGGACCGTCAAATTCGTTACATAGGATGTACCGTCGAATTCGTTTCAAAGGAGGGGACCGTCAAATTCGTTTCAGAGGTGGGACCGTCAAATTTGTCACAGAGGACAGACCGTCAAATTTGTTTCAGAGGACGGACAGTCAAATTCGTTACAGAGGACGGACAGTCAAATTCGTTACATAGGGTACCGTCAAATTTGTTTCAAAGCAGGGACCGTCGAATTCGTTACAATGGAGGGACATAACATGTAAAGTAAACAGGAAAAAAATTCAACAAAACTCATCACAAACAAAACAGGTTTTTAATCTTTAAAACACAAAATTTAAAAACCAGAAAAATCCATTAAAAAATAATTTTTGATCCTCCTAACAAATTATATTTCAGTCAAATTATTTTAATTTTCTTCCCTGATCAGACAATATGATTCTATTTTGTTAATAATATTTACATACAGTGATAACTAGAAAACTCTTGAATAGTAAGACGACTTTGAGAATCAAGTTTTAAAAAGGTCAATAACCATAAAACAGCGCAGTGTATACAGACCCATTTCACAAAAAAGTAAATTTATAAGTGTCTGGTAAAACTATTTGCTTTCTAACAATTAAGTAATGCTATAATGTAGTCTTCCTATTCCTTTGTTTTCTGGTTATTGCTGTACTCTCAAAATAAAAGGATCGATACAAACTATCACATTTACAATTCGACCGTTATACCTTCTTTTAATTCTGTTCAGGATATTTGTAAATAGTAAATACTTCCTTTTAACTCTGTTCAGGATTTTTGTAAACACTTCCTTTTAACTCTCTTCAGGATATTTGTAAACACTTCCTTTTAATTCTGTTCTGGATATTTGTAAATACTTCCTTTTTATCCTGTTCAGGATATCTGTAAACACTTCCTTTTAATTCTTTTCAGGATATTTGTAAACACTTCCTTTTAATTCTGTTCAGGATATTTGTAAATACTTCCTTTTTATTCTGTTCAGGATATCTGTAAACACTTACTTTTTATTCTGTTCAGGATATTTGTAAATACTGCCTTTAATTCTGTTCAGGATATTTGTAAATACTTCCTTTAATTCTGTTCAGGATATTTGTAAATACTTCCTTTTATCTATTCAGGATATTTATATAAACTACCGGAATTAATTTACAATTATATAGACGTCTTGACAAAATAGTTTTATAAATATGCTTGATGAAAAAAAACTATATATATATAAAATCGTCTGATTAACTGTCGATTAATTCCGGGTCTTTTTGATAATGACTGATGTACATTCCCTGTTATTCTGTTTAGAATATGCAGTCTAAAAGAGAAAGAACTGATTTAGACCGACTCTACAGAGAATATATGGTAGAAAGCTTTTTGAGTACTTAAAAACTATTTTGTGAAATATTTACAATAAACCTCCAAATATTATAATCATAACAAAAAAAAGTCCCATAATCAGGATTGTTTATTTAGCTCTATAGTTCTCGAGCATTCAGTTCACCAAATTGTATGAAAAATCTATATAGTTTAATTGCTTGTTTGTGTGTCTGTTTGTGTGTCTGTTTGTGTCCAATAAACTTAAAAGCGACATCACATGATCCTGGGAAAGGTTTATAGATATTTAGAATTTAAAGAATTTGTCTTCAACAAATTTACATTTTTTAAATCATTGTTACTATTTGTTAATTAAATAAGGGCAATTGTCGCAGGTAAAGCAACAATTAAAAGAATTTTAAATCGAAGACGGGGGCGCGAATCGCCATGTAAGCCTAATTTAGTTATATTATTTGCATAAAATTTTTTGCATTAAAAACATTGAATTTATCCAAATGCTGCGTCAAAACTAATACTAGAAAATTCTAATATTCATTGCTACAGAAAAGTAAAAAGTAAAGAAAAGAAGTGAAAAGTAAAAGAAGAATTCTGTTTAGGAAAACAAAGAAAAGAAGAATTCTGTTTAGGAAAACAAAAAAAAGAAGAATTCTGTTTAGGAAAACAAAGAAAAGAAGAATTCTGTTTAGGAAAACAAAGAAAAGAAAAGAAGATTAGGAGAAGAAGCGCTGAAAGCAGAAAAGATGAAGCTGCATGATAGAAAATCAAGGTTATTTAAATAAACGTGTTTTCTGCTTCCCTGCCTATTTGTTGTTAAAAAAGGAACTTTTTTATTGCGAATTTAGGATAGGATATTTCAAAATGGCCACTTTTCAATATGTTGGCATAGTCCCTTAAAAGTCAGAATAATCTAAATAGAAAATTAAATCGTGATTAGTTTTCAACATAGATAAAGTAATTTAGGTTTTAGTTTTCAACATAGATAAAGTAATTTTGGTTTTAGTTTTTTTGTTACCAAGAAAAAATACCTTGAAACATAAGTTTTCATTGAAAAACTAAAATTTCATAATTTCAGTTCTTGTTTTTATTATAAAATAATTATTTTCTTCTTTTTTCGTCATTTTTTCCGCTGCAATAATACAGAAGGTTTACAAAATTAAAAAGAAATAAAAACCTTTGCTCAAACTGGAAACCCTAGCTGAGAAATAATTTTGATATGATAGTAGAAGTGGGTCCAGAGGCAGCAGCGAAGAGATTAAACTACGACGACCTTTATCCGCATCAATTCTTCAGGTAAAAATGAAAAAGTAACATAAAGAGATACCTTCAAAAGATGAAACCTCTGAGACGACTGTACGGAATTCATTCTGCCTGTTTCTTTACATACTTGTTTTTCTTTTTTTCAAATCATTAATTATATTCTAGGAAAGAAGAAACTATGAGAAAAATTTCAATATGGCGACAAATCTTAGAATGCGTCTTCTTCAAGAAAACAAATCCAGGTAGTGATGTCATAGATGTCGTCTTAGTTTTTACCATAATTCATAAATGTCGTTTTACAATTCAATATTTTTCATGGATGTCGTCTTGCTTTTAAATATATTTTATTATTTTCGTCTTACTTCACAGTATTTTATATATTTCTTCATATTTTTGGTATTTTCTGTTGAGTTCGTCTTATACTTTCTATTATTTCTTTTATTGCTTTATTATTATAATTCATAATTAGGTCATAATTCAGTTTAATATAGATCGTCTTACTTTTCATTTCATTTCTAAAATAATCTTTGTTTTCCTTATTTTACTTCTTACGCTTCCTTGATTTTAAAAATCGTCTTACTTTTTGTTATACTTTATCAAAGGTCGTTTTATTTTTATACAAGACATGATTTAACAAAGTTTGTCAAGCTTTTCAATAAAAGATTTCGTTATTCTTAATACATTTTTAAAAGAATTTAATTATACTTCGAAAAAAATACTGCGAGGACGGCTTTTTATAAATAATGTTTTGATCCCTCACAACCATTTTTTAAATTAAAAGTTTACAAGTAAAAAACTGGAAGTTGTTAACTTTACTGTGTCTCTGCTGTTTGAAAGATTGGAAGAAATAACAAAATTGGAATTGAAAATCGTCTTGATTGTATTGATTTACACGACGACAACTGTATTTTTTCTATATTTTGTTCTGTATTGAAGAGTAGAGGAAGAGCGAAGAAGAGAGGAGAAGAAGGAAGAAGAGAGAAGAGAAAGGGATCGAAGAAGAAGGATGAATAATCCAGTTTGGGATAATATCAGGTAACAACTCTGCTATAGAAATTAACTGCGAATTTCTACTAAAGGAAATCAAATGGGAATTATTAAAATAAAAACACATTTAAACCTAGAAAAACAACAATATCTTCTACATTATTGATCAGATAAAGGATGGGGACCGTTTTGAATCTGGCATTGTTATAAATCGTAATAGGGTTAAATGGAGTTGTAATTCTAAATGTTTACGGAAATCAAACTTCAGCAAAACTGTTCAGCCTTGATTGTCTTAGATCGGATAGAATGGAGATGGATGAAATCAGTTTACGGAAGAAAGAAAGAATGGAAGCTGAGAAAATAAGAATGAGGTAAAAATATTTTAACTATCTTTTGAAATCTTTATTATCCGTTTTCAATACGTTACTGCACTGCGTTTGATGGTTTAATAATTTCAAAACATTACGCGCACTAACATTTAACAATTTGTCCATTAAAAAAAATATATTTAACACTAAAATTGATATATTTTGTGTTGAGGGAGTTTAAAGAGGAAATGGAGGAAATGATGAGAAGAGTTGAAAACCAACCTACTCTTTTCCAGAAGCAAGGACAGGTCCAAATATTCAAATATTCTTATACTTCAAAGGTTTTCAAAATGACATTTTACAAAGTTTAAATTATTTTCATGTAAAGATACTGATTAATTACCACAAATTCTAATTTACCACCCAATTTTTATATGTAGAAACTTAAATTTTTGTTTAATTTCTTTGTGTTTTTATAATGGTTAGTTTTCAGGTGTTTTTATCTGCCAGTTTTCCTTGCAAATTGAGAAACTATTTTTGTCAATGTTTATGTTTGTATTTGCAGAAAGGATGATCATTGGATGAACAGAAATGAAAATATACGAAAAAAGCAACATTTTAAAATTATAATTTTTCAACAATATTCAATTTTCTTAATTTTGAAGGTTCAAGCAGTTAAAAGTGTTGAGAAGATATACGAATATGTTTTAAAGCGACAGGGATTACAAGTTGAAGATATTAACAAATTAGCAGAATCTGAACACACAACAGAAAAAGATTTTTCTAAGGTAAAGTTGAGGATTTTTCGTAAATTTAATTTATCAACCATTTAGAATATTGCCACGCTTTTCTATAGCTGCCTTCATGGAAATAATGTTTGACACATTTTCTATAATTCTCTTTTTGGAACCGAGGTTGATGTACTATTTTCAATTACTTTAGGGATTTAGGGTAACTCAGAATTTCTAATCCCTATATCTTTGCTACCCAATGCTGTAGACCTTAGATATTTCAAACTACGAATTCCGGAAGATCAAATAATCTAAGTTTGAAATATCAAAGGTTTACACCATCAAGTTGCTAAGATTAGAAAATTTGAGTTTGTGACAAAGACTCATTTCCTTAGTGCGCAAGAAACCCTTGGTGATTAAATCCGCCATTCTGTTTAAAAGAGAAACCACAAGGAGGGCTTCCCAATTAAAACATCCTGGAATAATCAATTTTCAGATTTAACCAACAACTCTTATGTAACTCTTAGAATTTTTCCAAGACAAAGTCTTGTAGGGTACCGTTGTGAATCAACATTTGACTTCAAAGATGTGATTACACCAGCAATTTCGATATTATATTAATATATTATCCAGGAGTACCCTGGCACTTGGGAGAATGGATTTCGGATTGGACTAAGAAAGGATTATGGATCTTACAACTGGGAAAATTACTCTGAGGTATTAAAGTTATAAAAATTATAGGGATACCCTCATAGGATGAAATTTTCTTAGTAATAAAGTTTGATACTAAATTTTTTTAGAAATTTTGGAATTGAAGTAATTTACAAATCGTGTCTTTTTTGTCGTTCTTTGTTTGTAACCCTGTAAACGTATTTTTTTCAAAAAAAAATTGTTTTTATCCTGAAAGAAGAACAATTTCAACAAATAAATTCTATTTGTCTATTGTTGGTTTCCACGAAATGACCATATTTTTTGCGCAAACTAATTTTTTTGGCAAACTTTTGCGCACCTTTTTTGCATGAAGCGCAATAAGTTTTGTGTTTTGCGCGTTTTTGCGCAATCTTTTTAGCTTAAATTGCGGAAAACCAAAATTATTGTGTAACACGTAAATTTTTAAGCCAAAAATGTTAATGCAAATTGACCAAAATTGACAGTTTCAGCACATGATCAAACAACTGAAGGTTTATCAAAAAATTTACATAGAAATAAATTATAACTCTGATGCTATCTATTGGTTACTTTTAGTTACAAAATCTTCAAATGGAACAGAAATTTTAAATTTGAAAATAGAAAGTTAATTTTTAGTTTTTATAGATATCTGAATCTGTGTGGTGTTAAACTTTGATATATATTTCAAATGTTGACTACTTCTAGTCTAATGCATGATTGAAACCACTGAATCTTTATCATTCTATCAATTAAGCTTAAAATAAGTAGTTGGCAAAATACTGCGCAACTTTTGTGTGAGATCGTGCACATCTTGATTTGCAGTGTGCCATCCATGCTTCAGGTTGAAAAATAGAGTTTTACGCAAGTAATTATAACTAATTTATACAGTTTACACCTTTAACCTTTTAATGAGAATTTGTTCCGCAAAATTGCTCGAAACAGAATAAAGCAAAAGCGGAAAAGCGAAATAAAGTTTGCGAATGATTGCGCAAATTGCTATTTTTTCGCGCAAAAATGTAGCACAAATAAAGCAAAAATTTTTGCTACAAAAAAATTTGCCAATAGAAACCCTAGTCTATTAGTTTTGCACAAGATCATTTTGTTACATTTTACAACAAGTATAGAATGAGGTTTGCTGTTTAAAAAAGATAATTATTGATATTTTATTTTGTTTTAAAGGAGTTTAATGGAAAAGATAAAAATCGACAAATGGCAAGAAAAGAAGAAGTAGAAGAAAAAGAAGAAGAAGAAGAAGAAGAAGAAGAAGAAGAAGAAGAAGTAAAAGAAAAAGAAGAAGAAGGAGAAGAACAAGATGAAAGTTAAGATTTTAGGATTCTTGGGTTTCAGAGTTCTATTAAATTCCAATACAAACTCTCGAACAATATTTTTCTCTGCTTTTTAATCTATGTATCTTTGCAACCTTTAGTTTGCAAACTATAAATTTTGTCAGAACCAGAAGTCAAAATTTATAACAACAAATGTCTACGCTACGAAGATATATATATAATACAAATACATCCTTACATATATATGTATATATGTATATATATATATATACATATATATATATTATTAATATATATATATGTACAAGAGAATAGTTTGTGAAGATTTAGAAAATAATGTAGTAATGTTTACACTGTGATTATAGAATAGTCAAGTTTGATGGACCGAGATCGAATTAAATGAAAAGGGAGAAATAGTTGAACTAGATATTGATAGTTAAACTATTACTGGTGTGTGTATGAGTGTGCACTTTAAAGAAGTAGTTCAATAAACCCCAGTCTAAAAGTTGCATGTTCCTTGTCGGTACAACACGTACTACGTATATGCAGTCCGTCGTACTGTCCAGTCAGGCTACCCAGTGTAGACTGTAAAGTCGATCAAGCACGTTTTTTGTAACATATGTAGCTTGGCAAGAATCTAGTGAACTTTCCTTACTTCGGTCATCTAGTTTTCCTTTGTCATTTAATACAACATCACGTCCTGTCAAGCTGTAAATAGATAATGTTATACTTTTATAGATGTGATATATTTAAGTTTGAAACCCTTGTTTCATATTATTATTATTATTATTATTATTATTATTAATATTATTGTTTNTATTATTATTATTATTAATATTTTTATTATCATCATTATTATTTTCTGTTAATTAGACAGAAGGAAAAGGTAAAATTTTTGCGACATTATACTGGTGTGACTTTGTGACCTCTTAGCTCATGTAATTTTAAACATAGGTATGAGAAATAGAATTTATTTGGTAACACATCAGAAATATAAACATCTTTATCCCTCTCATAGCTTTCCAGTAAGAAGTTAAAGCAATTAAGCTCTCAATAGCTCTTCAATAAGAGAAGTTTAAATGAAAGCATTTAGGATTTCTATTTTACGTGAAATTTACACTAGTTCGACGTGTCTTATTATTATCATTATTTTTATGATCTGATTATTAATATTATCGTTTTTATTATTATCATGATTATTATTATTATTATTATTATTTATTTTACTTTTTTGTATATATCTGTTTAGTATTGAATATAAAACATATCTATGTGAATAAATTGATATTTTAGAATTAATTTATTTTACTTGCAAAACTGTGGAATAGGAAGACGACATTAAAGCAATATTGAAGTGTATTTCATGCTGATACAAAGCAAATAGCTTTACTAGTAAGTTATTAAAAACTTATCAAGTGAAATGGGTCTGTTTACATTGCACAATTGCTCTGCCTCATGTTCAATGAGTCTATAAAACGTCAACTTCCTATTCCAAAGTTTTCTGGTTATTACTGTACACTAAATAAAGAATATGTGATTACTGATACGATCTTCAGATTTAATTTTACTTCGCTAAGAAAAAAAAGCGATGGTTAAATATTTGCCTATTTTATATTTAGCTCAAGTAAGGAATCGGAATTAACCAAGATACATTTAAAATTAAACTCCAGACATGAACCCATTTTTGTAAATTTTTCTACTAAACATGTATTGTGGACTAAAGTCTACACAATAAATAAAGTTTACGTTGTGGATTTAGTATTTTCTAATAGGCTAGAATTTAATCTAACCAAGCAAGTGAAAACCTCAACTAACTTAATGATAAAAGAAAAACGTCTCGTAGGTTTTATTCACTTCACTGGTATGTATATAACAGATCATGCATGATACGTATACAGAGTTTATACAGGTTCATCTAAACAACGGAAAAGTTTTAAGGAAGGGTTTTAAACCAATTTTCAGAAAGCTATAAGTAGCTCGTTTATAATGAATGAATCGTTTTTGTGTTGATGTTTAAATTTATGAACAAAAGAAAATAAAAATCTTGACACAAACATTAGTTGCTATGCGTGTTTATTTTCAAGACACTATTTGGTAAAAGGAATTGAGTGTTTGCCACAAACTCTGATTTTCTAAGCACTATATCTTTGAAACTCATTGTCGTAGATCTTAGATATTATGAATGAATTCTGTTAGATCAAATACTCTAAGTTTGAAATATTTAAGGTTTGCACCATCAGGTAGCAAAGATATAGAGATAATACTATTGATTTTGTGGCAAAGACTCAATTCCTTTTGTCAGGAACCGGAGACGCACTTTTAGTTTCCTTGTTTTCTTGCTGAAAATTTATTATTTTAATTAATCGATCAATAATAAAAAAAACCAAAAATAAAATCCTTCAAAACTTGCATTATTCCAAAAAAAGGGATCAGTGGCCGAATTTAAAGAATTTGAGCGGCGGTTTAAATTCAAGCCGCGGGTTAAATATGGTTGGTTCCACTTAAAATTGTATCAAATGTTTCAAGATTTAAACAGCGCTTAATTCAAACCGGGTTTTGCCGGATTTAAACCGCGGCTCAAATTCTTTAAATTCCATCTCCGTTTTATCAATCTGAGCGGGCTAACTTGTCACTATTAAGAGTATAATAATAATACTTTAATAATGAATTTGTTAAGCTTCCAGCTGAGAAACATGCATGGCTCCAAGGCTTTAATGCAAGGAAAGTTATTTCAGAGGTGTACGCATCTTTTGTACTGCAGTGTACTGTCTCTGGGCGGTAATGTAAACACAAGACGGATGTCGAAGCCTGACATGGGATCCATCTTTCACATAAAAATCAACGAAATTTTCATAGGAAACTATTATGTGAATTATCAAAATTATCAAAATTTAATGCTTTTAACCTCTTCGGATACTAAACGAATACTGATGTATCACTTCTTGTTTATGAATTCCGCCCAGAGAGAACTGGTTTCAATATGTACGCAGAGTGTACGCAACTACAATTAACTTGCCTGTATTACAACCTTGCATGGCTCCATGAACATTGGACCCCCGCCGGGGTGCCAATCAATCCTTTCATTTTTTTATCCCTTATATTATAAAGCAGTCAAATTTTAGAAGGATTTTCGTCTGTTAGAGTTCAGAATTTGTTTATGTTTTGATTGCATACGATCATAAAATAAGTAAAATAAGAAAATCCCTGTAAAAAATATCGAAGTAACCTTTTGTCTTAAATGTTAATATGCGCAAAATTACTGAAAATTACCCTGTATTTATAATTTGTGTCGCATTTACCCTTTATTGATAAATAAAAAATATTCCATGATTAAAAAACAATCAACATTTAATTTATTTTCCCTTTTATGATTAACAAGATTAAAAAAAACAATAAACATAGGAGGAAAAATGTAAAGAAGTTTAATGTTATAATATATATGTTCTTGATCTAAGAAACAAATATATTAATGTTTTTTAATTTAATATTTTCAGTTAGGGGAGTAAGGAAAATATTTGCTATTTCATCAACTTGAATTTGTAATAAAGATTTTAATGATAAAAAAATTTACATCATGCACTTTAAATTAAAAAGCCGCCTAATCGGGTGAAAAAGTTGGATGGCACCCGATTAGGCGACAAAATATCGCTTAACATAAATCGCTTTGTTTCATAAAAAAATCGCTTATATTGCAGAAGTTGGTGACTGCCAAATAAGCGACACAAAATCGTTCATTTTCAACAAAAAAGTCAGTAATTTTTAACACAAAAAACGCTAATTTTTAACGAAATCGCTTATTTTCAAAAAATAATCGTTTTAATTTAAACAAAAAATTTCTTATATTCAACAAAAAACTCGCTTATTTTTAACCAAAAAAATCAGTTATTTGAACAAAATGTTTTTGTTTTTTTCCCGTGTACACTTTACAGTTCATAAAGAATTGTATGTTGTTTCATTCATTCATATATTTATTCAACTACAAAGCATGAGATATTGTTTACTTTCTCAAACTTTTTAGTTTAGAAGTTATTGAACAATTTTAAAGTTATAATAATGATGTGAATCCAGTCCTTAAGCATAACTAGTCAATTTTTTTAATAATATTGATACGGATATCTTTTTTACACTCTTTAAACGTTCTTAGCACAAATTATCTAAACCAAATATCTTTGCAAACTAAGGATGAAACATTTGACATCTCGGCTTAGAATTATTGATCTAACAGAATTCATTGTGTGAAATATCTAAAGTCTCCCAGCTAACACAAAGCGGAGTTAAATCAGGGTAAAAGTCGATTTTTTTAAAACCAGAACCCGGATAAAAACCGTGTACTGAAAACGTATTTAAGACGGTTTTACATGGTTTTTTTAGCCGATATAGATAAGGTTTTAGACGGTTTAAAATCTTCTTTTTAAGGGTTTAAAGTAGAGATAAAATTCGTTTTTTACCCATAGTTTTTACCCGAGTATTTTAAAACGGATTTAATCCGTGCGTCATTACACCAATACCAGTTTTTTAAATGGTTTAAAATGGTGTGATTTTACTCGCTTTATATAACACCACTTTAAAACGCTTTACGAAGTTAAGCACCCAGGTTTTAGACGTTTAATATCAGTTTTTTTAATAAAGAAATAACCAGTTTAAAATAAAACTGATTTAAACCGGTTAAAAGACATCTTTAAAACGAGTTATTTCCGGTTATTAACGTTTCTTCACTTTAGTTTAAACCAACACCATTTTTAACCGTTTTTTGCATGTGTAAAAATCTATTTATAATCAGTTATTACTTGTTTTTTTCTCTTCTCTAAAAACTCCATTTTTTTAACACCATTTATAAACGTTTTAAGGGAAGTATGTTAAAACCATTTAAAAACGTTTTAAAGGATGGATTTTAATCCATTTTTATCCATTTATAATCTAAGATTTAGTGACAAAATAGAAAGAAATTGATTACTCTCCTCAAACTCAAAATATTCCAATTCTAATATAATTGCAACCTGATATTGTATGCCTTTTATGTGATATTAATTAGAACTGCACTTACAATTTTTTTCACTCAGACATATTACAAATATATTTCCATTGGAATAACATAACTTCTAATTACAATTTTACATATTGGTTAACTGCAAAAGCTTGTTCAGGGTGTTTTTTCATGTGACTAATTAAGTTACAAGTTCCCCAAAGGATGCGGTTTCAAGATTGTGGAGTTTTATTCTGTTCTTAACTTCTATTCTTTGTGGTTAACCCTGTAGGTTTAAATATTTTAAAAGATTTATGGGTTCAACGATTTAAAATTGTCTTCTGTAGAAGTTTACTATTATCAAACATGCAAATTTGTTATCCTAGGTGAAAACATAAGGCAAAAACAAACTAAGAACGATGGTTTTTAAAACCCAAAAACTATTGTTTTATCCTGATATTTTCTTCGAAGGTAACAAATTTGCATGTTTGGTAAACTTCTACAGAATAAAGTTTTAAAATGTTGGAACCATCTCATATTGCCGTAATACTTTTTAAAAGTCTAAAAACATAAAAAGTTTCTGTAAAATGAATCTGGATATTGCCCATCCCTATTAAAATTAAAAAAAAAAATTATTTATATGTAAACTATTAAACATGAGAATTGACTCAAAGAAGTTTGTTGTAACCCCCTGGAAAGATATGTGAATCCCTCCAGTGGAATTATAAACCCCCAGGAAGGATATCTGAATCCCTCCAGTGGAATTATGAACCCCTAGGAAGGATGTGTGAATCCCTCCAGTGGAATTATAAACCCCTAGGAAGGATGTGTGAATCCCTCCTGTGGAATTATAAACCCCTAGGAAGGATGTGTAAATCCCTCCAGTGGAATTATAAACCCCTAGGAAGGATAACTGAATCCCTCCAGTGGAATTATAAACCCCCAGAAATGATATCTAAATCCCTCCAGTGGAATGGAAATCACCCTGCGTAAAGTTTTAAATTGTAAAAAGCATTTTTTTAAACCCCTCCAGTGAAAATGAATTCCCTCCAGTGGTCTCCAGTGGAGTCAAAATCTTACTACGAACTTCCGTGACTCATATTAAAAGTAAAGTTTGCAAAGTTGTATAAAGATATAAGATCTAATCTTCCACAATAAAGAAAGCCTGTCAACTTTGTTATGCATTTTTATAATTATTTTTTTGTTTATTAAAAAATGAAGATAAAAGAACCCTGAACCTATTGAATATATTTAATTCAATTTTACGGGGATTTTTGTCTATAAAAGCTTTTAACACTTTTGTGGGTTTTACGGTTTCTAAGATGTCTCTATGAATGTTCATTATATATAGGGCCAGATCATTAAATCTGTCATCGTTCATGCTGACTTTTAGCTAAAGTATTTGCTGGAAAACAAGTTACAGTACACTTTTAGGTTCGTCTCCAGAAAAGGGGGGTCAAAAGATACTCTTGACCCCCCCCCTTTTTCAAAAGGGGGGTCGTCGACCCCTTGACCCCCCCCCTGGATACGCGCCTGTTTTTTTAATGTTGGACAGTGCATGTTTAATGTTTATTGATTTGTTTGTTGATATCAATTTATTTAATGGTGTTATGTTGGACAATGCATGTTAATTGATTTGTGTGTTGATATTAATTTATTTAATTGTGTTTTCATGTAATTTTGTAAGTTTCAAAGAAATATTTTTCAAGTTATTTACATTCTGTACAATGTGGAGTTAAGGAAAACGAGTCTGGACCATAGAGTAATAAGACGAAGAGGTGAAGCTTAGCTCAGATGTACACAACCGACCTGTCTGTTAATTAATCAATAGACAGGTCGGTTGTGTACATCACGATATGTTTACGTATCTAACGTTGTACGCTTGTATATAGAGCGATCGTATTTCTAAAGGGGGATTTTATGGAATTGACAATTTTTAGATTTTCTTTTTTATTTAAAGAGAATTCGAAAATGTTGACTGCGAACATTTGACAATTTTCAAATTTGTAGGTTTTTAATTTATTAGCAAAAAGTTCTGTCAAAAAATATTGTATTGAAATAAACAAACAACTGAACTTGAATGTACTGCAGTATACAATCCTATGTTTACAATCCATATTAAGTGTCTATCTAATTATCAATACTAATATTAAAATATCTACATTAAACCACTCCTTAGAAATACGATCGCTCTTTTGATAAAATATCATTCAGGAAGATCTTCTTTTGTCCGGTGTTCCTGCAATCAGAACAAGTTTTGTTAGATTTTACAACACCCATTTAAAATGTGTGTTTTGTCCCTTAACTTTCAACTTTTCTGGTTTAAAAGTGTTTTTTTTATGTCGGACAATGCATGTTGATTGATTTGTTTGTTGATATTAATTTATTTAATAGTATTTTCATATAATTTTGTAGGTTTCAAAGAAATATTTTTCAAGTTTGTACAATGTGGAGTTAAGGAAAGCGAGTCTGGACGTAGTCATAACAAAAACTTAACTCCATTGATTCAAAATGGTTGCTCTATTATGAAAATAATAATGCCATTTTTCTTTATTGAAATTTCACTTAAGGATAAAGAGTAAATATTTGTCAGACGGAACACAGGTTGATCTCATATAAATGTTAGTTTTTTTTTAAGTTGTAGTTTGGTAATGAGAAAGCGCCTGGAATCGTTTATGTTTATACTCTATTAACCATAAACCAGGTTTAATAAAGAGCAAGAAGTAGCCGAAATTCGCCACTTCTTCTGTTACCAAATACAGCTGAAGAAAAGCATTTGAACTACATCTAAGTGGTTCAACTATGCGCGCTATTCATTGAATCTGGTCCCAGGTAAATTTGGGTTTAAAAGAATCTACTAAAGTTAAAGCAACTGTAATTTTAAGAAACCCTCCTTATAAGATGGGCATATCCGATTCACCAAGGTACTCTTCAATATCCGATTCACCAAGGTACTCTTCAATATCCGATTCACCAAGGTACTCTTCAATATCCGATTCACCAAGGTACTCTTCAATGACCAATCATGTGAAAGATATAATTGTTTTTCTTGTTTTTGGGACAAACCACTCTAAAAATAGATAGAACAAATAAAGATTTCTTTTACCTCCAGTTGGTTTTAGAGCCAGTGGGATAGTTTAAAACTTGCAGACTTAATTTCTTTCATACAACGTTACAGACAAGGTATTACATTTAAATTTAAAAATTACAAAATTAATTTAGGATGATAAAGTTGGAGGAAAAAAGGAAGCGCTAGGAAAAGGGAACGAAAGCCAAAAATTTCTTAGTCTTGTTGGTTGGTCCGGTAGCCATTAACTTCTTGGTCTCAGAGTCTGGTCATATATCCATAAATTCTATATTCTCATAGTTTAGTCAGATATCCATAAACTCTATATTCTCATGGTTTAGTCAGATATCCATAAACTCTATATTTTCATGGTTTAGTCAGATATCCATAAATTCTTTATTCTTATGGTCTGGTCAGATATCCATAAACTCTATATTCTCATGGTTTAGTCAGATATCCATACACTCTATATTCTCATGGTTTAGTCAGATATCCATAAATTCTATATTCTTATGGTTTAGTCATGTATCCATAAACTCTATATTCTCATGGTTTAGTCAGATATCCATAAACTCTATATTCAGAAATCCATAAATTCTATATTCTTATGGTCTGGTCAGATATAAATTCTATATTCCAAGTTTACAACAAAGAGAAGCCTCTCTTTGTTTCCATGTTTATGTTCGAAAGATTAGTAGAAAGAAAAATTGAAATCTACATCTTTATTTATGCTATCAGTGTCAGGTCACGGAAATTCTTCAATTCTTTTCTACTTTAGAATTAGTTCGGTAACCTTTTAGATCGGTTTCCTTTAGGTCAGTTTCCATGGCATCAAATGAAATAATACCAGCGGGACTGTAATTACTTCTAAGAAAAAGACGACCTTTTATATTTTATAAGTTGGCAGCATTCTCGAGGTTATTATGAAATAGAGATTATGGAGACTGTAAGAGGAGTAGGAGGACAGAGAAGAGCTGAAAATGAATGAAATGAAAACATGCGCACAATGTTTTGTATGTTAACGCATGCGTATAAATGCGTACCTTTTTACACCCAATAATATTCATCCAATTCTACACAAACATATAAAATTAACTAACAAGGATTAAAAATGTCAAGAGTAAGATTTCATTTAAAGAGTTGAGTAGTGGGTTCTTACAGAAAGAAAATTTGAAAAAAAATCTTTGAATTAAAAGTTTCAAAAAATATATTTTCCAGTTTTTAGGCTGTAATTAAAGTCTTATTCATTATGGGTAACCCTGTATTCTATAATTTTATTCACTTTAAACCCTATATATTTTACTTTAAACACTCTAAAATCCATAAACACTCACTTCTACGCTCTAGACTACGTCTTATATGTATATTCTACACTCCATTCTACACTCTACACAACGTTAAACGCTTTTTAATCTAAACTCTACTCTCTACACTCCTACAGAGATTACTACTTTATATATAGATAAATCAAGATATCAAACAAAACATGTTGGAAGATGGATGTAAACTAGATTACTACTTCATATATAGATAAATCAAGATATCAAACAAAACATGTTGGAAGATGGATGTAAACTAGATTACTACTTCATATATAGATAAATCAAGATATCAAACAAAACATGTTGGAAGATGGNTTATTATTAGATTGCGTCAACTTAAACAGAATAAGAGACTTACAAGGCCAGCTCATTCAAAAAAAATTTGACCACTAACTTTAATAGTTCTGGTGCTAGGGAGGCTTGAAAAAATGCCAAAAAAGGGTCAGAAATATAAAAAATTGTTTGTTTTAGACAAATATTAATATCGTCTCTGTATTTTTTTAAGGCCTTTTAAAAAATGTGATAATAAGATCTGTAGCTTTAGTCACAAAAAAAGTCATGGGATATTTTAGATTTGTTTTTAACACTGATTGGATTTTTACTACCCTGTACTACATACCCTTATACATTATAAAAATGTTTTTACAAAAATCCTTTAAATTACCATTCATGAAAAGTCTAAAAATGTTAAGGTGTCAAACGAGAGTGCTAGGGCAAAAAATCACAATAATGAAAAGTCTAAGTAATAGGACTCAGATATACATTTAATATTCTTACATTGTACGTTTATATTGTTATTTTAACTCCACATCTTTAAGTTCTGTCTACTCTCTCAAAAATGATAGATTTACATTAAATATCGTATATTTTTTCACGTTGTAACATTTCTTATCCCTTGTTTTCATGTGCAACATCTCAGCTACAGTGTGTTACAGAAATGTTAAACTTTGTCAATTTTTGTAACACACTGTAGTTCACATAAAATATTTTTATGGCACATATGTATGTAGCTAAAAAATGTTTAAATAAAGTGAAGAAAATGCGACAGGAGCTGTTGTAAATTAGGAAAACGAAAAAAATGATTTTTTTCTTCATTTTTTACGTCCGCCCCCAACGGGTATCCCGCAAAACCATTTTTAATCACATTTTAAATTAATATTTGAACAGAAGTTTTTTTTTTGAAATTTCAAATATTTGAGCTTAATCTTAAAATCATATAAATTTTATTAACCTAGTATTTTCCATAGAAAAACAGTGAATAAAAGCGAAATTTCAAAAATAAAATAATTTTTTAAGTTGCCCTATTAGACTATGTATATAACAATTATTCACCAATTTTGAGACGTTTTCAGAAACGAAAATCATTTCACATAAAAATTAAAATGTTCAGGATGGATTCTTCAAGCCGTTAAATTGTATCTTAAAATACCAGCGTGGTAAAAGAAGAAATTAAATTAATATCAGGGGGAAAAACATTTTCACTGGGATAAGGGGAGGGAGGCAGCAGAGATGAAGAGGACGGGGAAGGAAGAGGGGGGGGGGAAGGGAGAATAATGGGAAGGAAGAGGGGGGAAGGAAGAGAGGACGAGATGAAAGGGAAAGGAAGAGGGAGGAAAGTGAGTGAAAGATTGGAAAAAATTTCAAAAATTTAACTCGACCATAATAATGGTTTGATCGTTGTGTGATGACATAATTTCGGATTGTGAAATATAAACTGGGCCTTTAAAACAAAATTTACTACACGAACGACAGAGAAAATAGAAAAATTTCCGAAGGGTCGAATTTTTCAAAATTACAATGTTAAAAATAAAAAAGTAGGATAAATTCAAATCAACCAAAATAGGAGTTAAAGAAAAAAAGAATAGGAAACAAGAAGAAAACTAAAAATAATTGCAGGAAAGTTAAAAGAATTGTTAAAGTAAATGGGAATGGGTAAAAATTAGAAAAAAGCCCAGCACTATTAAGGCGGAATGGAGGAGAGGGAGGGTTGGGAGGATGGTTGAAAATTGGCATCTTTTATCAAGTTTTAACAATATATGTTTGTGCAGAAGATTTGACTAAATGAACATTTCACTGGAGTTACATTCTTCAATATCAAGGTGTCGAGATCTAGGAGAAAACTTGAAATAAAAACAAATTTTTTGTTAATATCATTTCTAGCTTTAAAAGAACAGATTCTATAAGGATTCAATGTAAGATGCCGAACGAAAATGTTTACTATTTCTTCATGGCACCAACAAGTCGATGTTATAGTCTAATAGAAAGGAAAATAAAACAAGAAAAGCGAATGGGAACTGTTTTACCAATAAATGTAAATTAACAAAAATGACTGTTTTTTTATCACATGGCATCATATTATTATGGCAAGAGTTGGGATTAGAAACTCTATTTATCGCCCTACTGTCCTGTCCTGTATATGTCTAAAATACAGTGTGGATATCCAGGAACCGACATCAATTCAATTATAGTCAGAGATTTCACACCTTATATGAAGCTAAACTTCATTTAACAGTTGGTTATTCAAACATTATCAATGGATATATCTCGCACTGTATTAATTTAAAAGAACGTATGATGACGAATTTCTTGTAAAAAATATCCTTCTTCACTTGGCCGAATTTAAATGCCAGGCCAGTGTTGACTCGTTTGTATAAGGTTTTTTTCTGGAACTTCTAAGGGAGGATCTATCACTAACTATTCTCTTGTTTTCATCTGTGACGAGATTTCATGAAATTCACAAATTTTCCCCAAAAAACACTGAGCTGCGAAGCGCCCGAATAATCCATCAATCAAATTTCTTACTGTGCTCCCAGCTCTCAGTGCTCAAGCAAGAGTTTCTTCCCGCCGTGACGTAACAAAAACCATTTAAAGTCCAATGCGTGTTGAAATTTAGTTTTTTTATGTAAATTTAATTTATAGAATTTCGTACATTCTGAGATGTACGCGCTGAATTATATCTCGACAATCGTTGAAGACCCGTCTAATGTTCTCAGTGTCAACTGCGCATGTGAAGTGAGGGTAGCAATGATGTGCACTGTGCTGTTTAGAATCAGCTCCACTGGGCTGCTGGCTGATCTGAAGGAAATTGTCCCTGAAAAAAAATATTATTAAATATCTAAATCACATCCGATTCACAGTGGTACCTTTATAATATAATAATATTATAATGCCTTTGTCTGATCAAGTATATCACAAAAACATAACAGTAATTGCGCGTCATTACTTTTACTTGGATTGGATTTGTGTGAAATTTAACCAATAAACAGTATAAATACTGTAGACATTAATCTAATAAACCTAAGGTCGGCGCAGTTCATGAAATAAAGTTTACAATGTTTTAGTAGTCGTTTATTTTGGAAGAAAGAATATATTTCGGAAGAAAGAATATATTTTAGAAGAAAGAATATAATTTGGAAGAAAGAATATATTTTGGAAGAAAGAATATATTTTGGAAGAAAGAATATATTTTGGAAGAAAGAATATATTTTGGAAGAAAGAATATATTTTGGAAGAAAGAATAGATATTTTGGAAGAAAGAATAGATATTTTGGAAGAAAGAATATTTATTTTGGAAGAAAGAATATATTTTGGAAGAAAGAATATATTTTGGAAGAAAGAATATATATTTTGGAAGAAAGAATTTATGAACCCTACCTTATGAAGTACTTGGCCCTAGTGAACTCTCTATCTGCTCCCTGATCTATCTCTGGACCTGCCTCCGGAGGAATCATGTAGTGAACAAACTCCGGGAAATAATCCTCCAACCTGCTCTTCCCCGACCTGATCTTCTCCTCCAGTAGGTCCTGCTTGTTCAAGAATAGGATCACAGATATGGTTCTCAGCCAACGATTATTCCAGATGGATCGGAAGAGATCTAATGCCTCCCGCAGCCTTTAAACCAGACATCATACTTTCAGTTTCTTTTATTTAAGAAAAGTTTGATGGAATCGTCATTGCTTTACTGCCTTTTTATAGAATAAATGCAAGTAAAGACTTACAAAGATAGCTTTCAAATCATTATCTAAGTTTCGATGATTTTTCGGTTGATAGAGAATAATTGAACGCAACTATTTTACAAAGTCTTTTAAAGGTTTTAGATTTTAAAAGATTTCTATCCATTACGGGGTCTCGTAAAAAAAACAATGACTGTCCCTTTCTTATGTAAAAAAGTAAAAAAAAAATGGCTGAAAGTTTATCTGAAAGTATTGATGAATCCCTGTTCTGTGTTTGGTCCTCTCTGAGTACCATGTTATATGAGCTCGACGCCGCCACGAAGATGATGGCCGTGACATCATTAAAACATTGGATCCACTTCCGGCGCTCGTCCCGCTGGCCGCCAACGTCGAACATGTGAAACTTGACCCGGTCCACGCGGAACTTCGTCTCAAATATCCCTGGTCAAAAAATATGTAAATATCGAAGATCTTTTGAAATCATGTTTATATCATTTCATTTTTATCTCTGATCTTGATAATTTGGAAACTAACAAATCCTTTTCTCAAAAATGTTTGAAAAAAACCAAAAATTCCTTTTAAAAACAGCTAGCTTTTATTAGGACATCAACTGAATTTCTCGATCTGGGGGTAAAATTAGAGGCATTACTAGGTTACAAAAGTTTAACAGTAATTTCTCTAAAAATAAACTTTTTCTTCAGGTTGAAATTAGTGATAAAATATGAATTTAATTGAGTTAATAAACTATTTTCAATTACATACACATTAATTTTAATGTTCATTTGGTGGATTAAGACTAAAAGAAATTTATTCTTAGCTATAGACTCAAATTTTCTAATAAATCTTTCTCAGATTTTTGATCCACTATAATTCAGAGTTCAGGTCTACGACATTGGTTGCAAAATATAGGGATTAGGAAACCAGATTTGAGTCTAACCTAAGAAGTACTTGGCACTATCAATAAGCTGGTATTCATTTGATCTCTCAAAACACATTTTCATCCCGGGATCCGCCCACAACACCTCCACGTGGTCCCAAAACTCGGGAGGGAAGTCAAAATCCACCGAGCTGCACCGACTGATTACAAAATCGAATGCAGGTGCTGATTGCGGATTTTCTAATCGCACCGGAGGATCTATCATCGACATCGCCTGGGCTACTGTAAGGATCGCATCCTTGACGTTGGTACGGATATTTTCCTTCTTTTCCTGTCTCTCTCCCTCTGAGAAAGGATCTTCTATGTGGAGAATACGCATTTGTTTTACTAACGTACTTTTACCAGACTCACCAGCACCCAGGAGCAGCAGACGATGGGTAGCTCGGTACACCTAGAGTACATTAGATTAGTAGATAGCTCGGTACACCTTACATTAGTTAGTAGATAGTTCGGTACACCTAGAATACATTAGATTAGTAGATAGCTCGGTACACCTAGAGTACATTAGATTAGTAGATAGCTAGGTATACATAGAGTACATTAGATTAGTAGATATATTGGTACACCTTGAGTACACTAGATTAGTAGATAGCTCGGTACACCTAGAGTACTTTAGGTTAGTTAATATTTCGGTACACCTAGAGTACATTAGATTAGTTAATAGCTCGGTACCCCTAGAATGCAATATATTAGGGGATAGCTCGGTACATCTAGAGTATATTAGATTAGTTAATAGCTCGGTATAGAGTACAATAGCTGAAAAATAAGGAATTTTACTTTATTTTTTTAATTCAGATTTATAAACAAGAAACAAAACTTCTTAGACAATTAAAAGTTTAAAGGGTACCACTGTAAATCTGACACGAAACTCTTTAAATGGAGGGTTGACAATGAATGCATGCCAACAGAACCTTTTGTATCCAATTCATGCGCGATTATGTCAACTTTTTCAGTCTTTCGTTACAACACAGTAATCGTTTCTGAACACATAAAATTAACAACACCAGGTTCCCCGTTATTATTTTTTTTAATGGTCAATGTTAAATGTTCAATGTTCAATGTTCAATGTTCAATGTCTACTTTACACAAAATCTAATCAAATTCTTAAGTTTAATTTTAATCTAAAAAAAAGTTTAATTGAAATTTCACTAAATTATTAATTTAAATATTTCTCAACCTTTTCTCTTTCCACTCCACAACTAGCGGGTCACTTTAAACTACGACATCAGTCTCTTTAATTCAACCAAATTTCTTTGTTATTATTATACAGATAATTAAAAAAGGGGAAACTGAGTTCTGTGGAAAACAGATCTAAAAATAGCCTTTGTTTTAGATATTTTTTCATTATTAGATTGCGTCAACTTAAACAGAATAAAACTACGTTGTAGAACGTTTAACGATTTTTGAAAATACGTTTCAGAAACTTACAGAAGAGAACAATTTGTGAGAAGCTGTCAGTTGTATTTTGAAAAATGAATATTTTCTCGATTGTTAGATTTTCTAAGATTGAGGTTAAGTAAAATATGACTCACTGCTTTTTATATAAACATTATGCATACTCAATACTCATCTTGAATAGTTTTAAACATTACACATTTTCTTTAAAAACTGGATCAACATCAAGAACGTGTTTGTAAGGGTTGTCTATCTATATATAAGTTTGGCTTGTCTGTCTGTCCGTTTGTATCCAATAAACGTCAAAACGGCTGCACCGATCGGGCCCAAATTTTGTGTGGGACCTCACGCGGCCACAGGAAAGGTTTATGAATGATCAAAATTTGAAAAAGTTGTGCTAACATTTTTTTCATTTTGGTAAAATTCTTTTAGATCTTTAAAATCCGCAAATTTTTCGCAAATTTTTTTTTCTTTGTTTTTAAATGTTACAATGATAACATGTTCACAACTGAAATTGAAGATGAGCGCGAAGCGCCCTAAAAGCCTAGTATTATAAAAAAGATAAATTATAATTTTATTTCTAGGTTTAAAGTTAATGCATGTAAACGTAATATCAATGGACTCTCTTTACAAAGCTCGATTTACAGAGTTACCAAAAATGTAAAAAATATTGTCGTTTAAAAGCTTTTAATTCTGATAATTCTATATGTTCCACATTTCCCTAAGTGAAAACGTACAATTCAGATTTTTCCAGAGCCCCAAAAAAGCGTTAAAACTCTTTAAAAAACTGATAAAACGATTTTCGACACGATTCGTTGACTTTGCAAAGTAATTTCTTTACGTAGGAGGAACGATAGATTTGACCCCTATCTCTATCTTTCTATACTTCACCAGCAAGAGTTAAATAAAATATAAGAAAAAAAATTCACGTAATTTTCATGTTTCTTGGGACCGCATATATATATATAACTACATATTTTATCTCAAATAAATATTTCAGAACAATTACTTTTAAAATTTATATTTAGAATATGATGTTAAATTGTAAACAATATTTATCTGAAGATTCAAAATGAACAAAGTGATGTAATTGTATACGCTCTCACCTCAACTCATGGCAAGAAAAGTTTCCCTTGGAAAAATTCATTGGAAAACTGAAATATGATTCAGCCCACAGCGTAAAGTATACATTGTGCAATGTGCAGTGCACAGTGTACACTGTACAATGTACAATGTACCGAGCTTAAATGCTACTCATGTACCGTTTATAATCGGACACCTCACGCTATAAATGTACTTTTACAGTCCCTTTAAAGGAAATTTACAGTCCTTTTAAAGGACATTTACAGTCCCTTTAAAGGACATTTACAGTCCCTTTAAATGAAATTTACAGTACCTTTAAAGGACATTTACAGTCCCTTTAAAGGACATTTACAGCCCCTTTAAAGGACATTTACAATCCCTTTAAAGGACATTTTCAGTCTTTTTAAAGGACATTTACAATCCCTTTAAAGGACATTTTCAGTCTTTTTAAAGGACATTTACAGCCCCTTTAAATGACATTTAAAGTACCTTTAAAGGACATTCACAGTCCCTTTAAAGGACATTCACAGTCCCTTTAAAGGACATTTACATTCCCTTTAAAGGCCATTTACAGTCCCTGTAAAGGACATTTAAATTCCATTTAAAGGCCATTTACAGTCCCTTTAAAGGCATAACAATGCATTTTGCTGTATTGATGACGTCTTTTGGATTGTATTTATTTCATTGAATTCTATTTTAGTATTTCTGACCTGTTTATCCTTTTGTATTTGTTTTTCGATTTCTTTATTTGTTTTCTTCATTCTTTTCTCCTCATCCACCTCCTCCTTCTCCCCTTGTACTCCGCAGCAACCCATGCTCTATAATACAATTCTTCACTTTTATTTTAGCGAACACTCCCTTTAAAATCATTTATTGTCAAATTAAATGTCAAACATCCCTAGTATGGTGAAATAAGGTAATTTGAACAACAAACAAAAGTAAATTTTATTTTAATTCTGATAATTCTAATACCACGCTTATTTTTCTCGAAATATAATTATTATATTATAAAGATTTTGATTGATTGATTGATAAAGATTGATGAAAAAAAATCATTATCTGCTACAAGACAGAATTGCAACCTCATATCGGTATTTCAGTAATTTCTCATAAAAAACTTCTTCCTTGTGTTATGAGTCTAGACAATTAAAAGATACATTTTTTGGTGTAAACAAGAACCCTTCATTTATCTAGATTTTAAACATACTTAGCTCTGCAGTGATTGTGTCTTTATATCTTTTAAAAGTTATTTTTAGCCTTTAGTGTTCGCATTGTTCAATCTTTTTAAAGATATCTATTTAGCCCACAGTGATGATTTTTTATAGATGATTAGTCACATTAATTTCATCTTTAAATATATATATTGGGATTGTATATTTTTTGAAAAAATCTATTTAGCCCACAATGATAGTTTTTAATGTGCCTATCTATCTATATAAATGATTTTTAGCCCATGGAAATTTTGTTCATCTGTATAAGATATTAGCCCAATGTACAAGTATATCTTTTTAAAGATATCTATTTAGCCCATAGTTTTTTTTACCTTCAGAATTTTGATGATGGGTATACTTGGGGCCTGGCTCATACCCACCCTGTAATAGAAAATTCTCATAATCTAATATAATAATCAAATCAAAGTTAAAATTGTTTTATTTTTATCATTATTATTATTATTATTTTATTATTATTAGTTAAAGTATTGGTATTACGTAAAACCTAAGTGAAATGGACTTATGATTGAAACCTTACATGTTTTTATCATAACTTGTTCTATTGAAAAGCCATTGAGAATAGCTTAAATGTTTTGAATTGCTAATATGTAATAATGTAACTGTATAAATTTGATTTTCTTACACTTGAGCAAAAAACCAGAACTAGAGGAATAACGAAGTTACAAAGTTGTAACTGCAATGTCAATTGAATTCGAGCTTCACCTCCTGGTTAGTTTGTAATAGTATTATTATTATTATTATTATTATAGTTAAATACCTTTCTGATTTCATGCGTACACCAGACACAGTGGAATCATTTTTGTCCTCTTTACACCTACTATAACAACAACAAATTAGAATCAGATTATTTTATAATTATTATTATAATTAAAAATAATTAATGCTTTCTTCAATCCTTAAATCTATCTCTCTTAAATATAATTTCTTTGAAGTTCAATTTATCTTTCTTTATTTTTTATTCCACAATTTTCCCTTGCTACCAAAAAAAAATAAGTTGTCAATGTAGGAAAATTAAAAAGTGATAAATTCAAAAAATACTTGGACTTTGAAGAAAATATGATTAAAGAAAAGTTTGTGTAATTTTAAATTTTAAAGAAGGACAGTTCACAACAGTACCCTTGAAACCTTTATCTGATTACCCATCAAAGAGATATCGTCGTTTTTATCTTTTTTTGTAATAATTTTATAATCATTTTGAGTTCTGTGGATTTCCCTCGCTTTTTCCCCTGCAAAAAATCAGTAAATCACTGCAGTAGAGGAACAGCAATTCAAAATTACCAAATTTCAGAGAAAAAAGCTCAGATATCTTCATCATTTTTGCACAGATGAAGGTTTAAAGGGTATCAGGGTGAATCGGGCGTTCCTCTTTTAAAATTGAGAGGTCACTTTAGACAGAAACTAGGAAAGATAAGTACAAAGTACAGCTGCTAAAAGAAACTAGGAAAGATAAGTACAAAGTACTAAGTTACAACATTGAAAAATATCAAAATAGAAATGATTAGCATATTTTACAAAAGTTTTTTTTTATCGATTTACCTTTTATCATTTTATAGAAAATATAGATTAAAAGTTGATAGATACATAAAAGGGATATATATACAATATACATGGATGTGGCTTCTTTACAGATAAACTTTCAGATACATTTCAAGTATAATTCATATTTCTTGCAATAGTACTTATAGATTTATAAAAATCAAAGTTAAAATTATAGTCTGGTTTTCTAAATATTTCATTACGACCTTCTTACTGATAATACAACAATCACTATTTTTATTAATATAAAAAAATGGACAAATGATCTTATGATGCATTTTTTCAAATTTAAAAAACAATGGTTGATCAAATTTTGTCAATTTTATTATTTATAATATCTACATTATATAAAATATAATTGTATACACATTAAACTTGAATACAGCGGAAGATAAGAATGCTCATTTAGGTGTAAAACAATTTTAGTCAGTTTAAAACCTTTCACAAGGTTTACACTGAACATAACCGATATATAGTACTTTTATTGCGATTCAATATATATTTAGATTTTGTATTAAAACATTGATTCGATGGACAAAATATGTTCTTATTTAAGATATTTATGATAAACGTTATGATCTACACGATGTATCTATGTACCCTACATAGATCCAATATGTATATATGAAAAGATCTGTTTTGAAAAACTAAGGTTTGCCACTATATCGAATGTCTGATGATGTATATGTTGAGTATGGCTGCCTAGCTGTTCACAGACATGAAAATAAACCAGTTTACATATATCTACCTCTACACACCCCACACATACACACACACAACATACACACACACAACATCACTCTCCACCTGTACATTTCTTCCATTAAGAGACATACTGAGGAGAGAAGAGAGTTGTGTTGTTATCTGTAGATACTAAACCATGGTTACCCTCCCACCTGCATCCAAACCTACTTCTCTCAATAATATTAAATATATTACCAACTTGTCTTAATCTAACTTAAAAACAACGGTTTAAACATGATCACACACTATTCACAGGGGAAATCACACTGGGCCCATCTTATTTCGGTTACCTAGTAAACGTTGGTGGGCTTTAAACACGATATAACAAACATTTTGGTTGATGTTGTGTGTGTGTGTAGGTTAGGGTATCAGTTTGTGTACTCTCCTTCAGGCCTCTGTTCGTTTTACATGGAGAAAGCAGGCCCTGCACACTCCCGCTAAACCAGAGGAAAGTCTCTCCTCTTTCTCTATTCTCTCTCTCTCTCTCTCTCTCTCTCTCTCTCTCTCTTTCTCTTTTTGTAAAAAAAAATGTGGATTTTTTATTTTAATGAAAATCAAACTTTGTTGGACGCAAAGTTTTCAAATTTTGATCATTGATAAACCTTCACGGGGATACATGTGATGTCCCATTGCACAAAGTTTGGCCCGGATCGGTTCAGCCGCTTTGACGTTTATTGAATACAAACAGACAGACAAGCAAAGTAAACATATATGTAGAGTGTAGATGATAAAAGAATGATTTTGAATTACTTATTCACTGATTCAGTCTGACCAAACGGTTTATATACATGAAAGATTAGAAAAAGTAGGAATAAATCCTCATATTTATCAACCATTAATTTACACTTCAAATGATAATCAACGTAACATATAGATTATAGAGCGTCCCATATTATATTTGATTATCTCCAATTGCTTTAACGCCCACATATGCACATAGTTCTCGAAAACTTTGTATTTTGTTAATACAAATTTTAATATTAGCCTTACACAATTTTTTAAATGATTAACTATTTTTAAATTTTCTGATTAGTCCCGAGAATCGGAATTTAGAGATATAAACGATCTAATAGGATGTGGGAAAACCTATCAAAAACAATTTCGTTCAGATTTCAATTTATTTAAAAAAAATTGCCTAAATCTTAAAAAAAAATTCTTTATCCAGGAATATGGATATTTTGTTACTTATTTATTAAGTAGGTGTTAACGATTAAATGCCGTAAAAGGAAATCAACAATCCAAACCTTCAATTTGCATTAAATGTTTTTTATAAAATATATTTTTAGCGTAATGTTCAAACCATCTAGTGTTAAACAGATGAATTTTTACAAATTCCAACTGTACCTTCAGGGAAACTAGATGAAGGTTTGGTAATAGAGGTTATCTAAAGTATTTAGTTGAAGAGGATTACGACATAGGTCAGGATTATGGATATGGCTGCATATAGTAAAATGTTTACCTAATAATAATGTTTGTAATAACAATAATTGTTTAAATTGATACTAATGTTCAAATAATTAAACCAATGTTTGTATGGATATGGCTGCATATAGTAAAATGTTTACCTAACAATAATATTTGTATTAACAATAATTGTTTAGATTGATACTAATGTTCAAATAATGAAACCAATGTTGTATGGATATTGCTGCATATAGTAAAATGTTTACCTAACAATAATATTTGTATTAACAATAATTGTTTAGATTGATACTAATGTTCAAATAATGAAACCAATGTTTGTATGGATATTGCTGCATATAGTAAAATGTTTACCTAACAATAATATTTGTATTAACAATAATTGTTTAAATTGATACTAATGTTCAATTAATGAAACCAATGTTTGTATGGATATGGCTGCATATAGTAAAATGTTTACCCAATAATAATATTTGTATTAACAATAATTGTTTAGATTGATACTAATGTTCAAATAATGAAATCAATGTTTGTATGGATATGGCTTCATATAGTAAAATGTTTACCTAATAATAATGTTTGCATTAACAATAATTGTTTAAATTGATACTAATGTTCAAATAATGAAACCAATGTTTGTATTTTGGTGTACTCTCTACTCTGTGTCTAACACTGATGTTTGTATGGATACTAATGTTTTTATGAATACTAATGGTAGTATGGATACTAATGCTTTATGAATACTAATGTTTGTATGCATGATACTAATGTTTTTATGGATACTAATGTTTGAATGGATATGAAGTATGTTCAATAATAAGTTTCCCTTACAATTTTAAAAGTGCACTTCTAGACGTCTACACTTAGTACTAAGAAGCCTTAGCAAAGAAAAAAAAATATTTCCTAAAATTCAGGAGACAAAACCATTTATTTTTGTTTAAATATTTCAAGCTTTAGATCGTTTTTAAACAAATCCCAACCCTACTCTCTAGCACTAGAATTATATCATTTTCTTCTCAATATATTTCGCCAAAAACTTTGGCATCATCAGGAGTTTGTCCTATAATATAACAGATATAAGCAAAAAATAAAAAATACAAGCACAGCAACTAAAATAAACAAAGAAGAGAACAAAAATAAAAGTCTTTTTATGTAAAATGGAATTTTTCAAAATGAATATTGTCAAAACACATAAAACTTAAAAGAAAAATTAGAAAACCGTACCTTACTCTTTTGATATTTCAAGGTTTTAAATATATTTATAATCCCGGGACTTTAAGATAGCTTTTTTTGAAATAATTATTTTAAACTTCAACTTTTGTTTTGTTCTATCCAATGGATTCAAAATCAGAATAGGTGGTGTTATATGGGAGCGCAACAAATTGTAAGATATCGTCGTTTTTCTTTCTTAAATAGTGTTGAATTCTGATAATTTTAGTCTTTGTATCTGCATTATAAATCCGCAAGTTAATATTTTTTTCGAGACATAATCGATTTTCTGATTGATAAACAAAGATATCTTCTTCATCCTTAATCAGACAACGGTTCAAAGGGTACCATTGTGAATGAGACTCAATATATGGAGAGTCATTTTAAATTACGTCTGCAGGTAACAAACTCTCATAAAAATCGGTTTGAGAAAACTTCAATTGTGTCGACTGTTTGGGGGGTCTTCGTGGATTTTTCCTGCTCAGACATTTCCTCTTTCTGACAACACTGTTCATTAGTGTATTTTCGTTTTTAACCCACTGTGTAGACTGACATGTTGCCTTGTTCATATCATTCTCCTCAAATGCATTCTGGATCATGTCAAAGGTGTCTGCTTTGTATTTGGAAAATTTTGGGCCCAATTCTTTGTGTATCGGTAATCCTGAAAGTGTCCTCTTTCTCTGATTTGAATTGAAAAAATTGCCGTGATGTGGCAATGGAGCTGAACAACCTCCTGGAGCTTCAGAGTGGAGAAGGCTGATCATATATATATAGAAATTAAATATCGGATGAACATAATCCGTACAGAGAAATTAACCGGGATGTATATATTGAAATTTTTAAACAAGAACTATAGGGCTAAAACAAGAAGTACTCATAAACAATTATAAGCTGGTTTGGATACGGCTGCAGTAAAAGTGAATATAATGAGGTGACATAAGAAAGAGAACACTTATGTCTCTCTTTTACCAACTGCGGACACAAGAAAAAATATATATTTTTTTCTTCAAAATTAAACCCTCAGAGTAAACACTCATGACACTTATCAATACATCAGAGGGACGGTAATTAACACTCAGGACGTTAATTACTCCATCTCAGGGATGGTGATTAACACTCAGGACACCAATTACTACATTGGAGGGATGGTAATTAACAATCAGGACACTAATTATTCCATCGGAGGGATGGTAATCAACACTCAGGACACTAATTACTCCAGCAGAAGGATGGTAATTAACACTCAGGACACTAATTGCTCCAGCAGAAGGATGGTAATTAACACTCAGGACACTAATTACTCCAGCAGAAGGATGGTAATTAACACTCAGGACACTAATTACTTCATGGGAGGGATGCCATTAAGGATTCCTGACATTGTGTGCCTGTTGTTGGACGTAGGTTTGGTTTGGGGTTGCTCCGAGAGGAGGGTGTTCTTTTTATAAAAGGCGACATCTCTTGGACAAAGGACACTTATTACTCCATGAGAGGGATGGTAACACTCAGGATGTTAATTACCATCCCTCGATGGAGTAATTAGTGTCCTGAGTGTTAATTACTAACCCTCCTATGGAGTATTTAGTGTCCTGAGTGTTAATTACCATCCCTCTGATTGAGTAATTAGTGTCCTGAGTGTTAATTACCATCTCTTTGATGGAGTTATTAGTGTCCTTTGTGCTAATTTCTATCCCCCTAATGGAGTAATTAGTTTCCTGTGTGTTTTAATAACCACCCCTCAGATGGAGTGTATAGTATAGTATATGAATAAAAATCAATAAAGCAATGCACAGAGTTTCTCAAATATTCAACGAGTCGGTTTTTCTTACAATATATTTATATACAAAAGATGCATAAATACAAACTTTAAATCGAACGATACAAATACAAACTAAATATTATGAATCAATCAGTTTCAACAAGTAGGGGAATTCTTCAAGGGAACCTTAATTCAAGGGAGCTGAATCACAACTGCCTTTTTTCCCTCTATTTCGCTCCACCCTTAGTTCGCATTCTACCCCACGCCCTGTGAGCTGGCCGGCCAGCTCACCAGCTCCCGGGTTCGGAGANAGGTTTTGTCTACCTTTAGATCCGTTCCTTTATAGGGGTAATGTTACATTAGGAATACGTATGACATACATATTTTCGTAACACTTTCCTTGGTAAAAATATGTGTTTGATATCCGTAAAAATACGTATATGAGTATGACTAACGTAAAAATGCCTATGTAAAAAACCTAAAAATCCAATGAATCAGGAATTTTTAGGTTTTCCCTATACGTAGATTTAGGTTTGAAAAAATCCTAACATTTCTTAATTTTTGGAACTTTTAGGTTTTACTTATACATAAAAATACGTATTTTTCAAGTTCTAAAACTAAACTAAACTAAACTAAAAAGAAGTGGAATATTATTTTGCATGGGCATTGTTCAGAGGCGTATTCAGGAATTTGGATCAGTGAATTTTATTGAATTCAGGGGTGCTGAGCTCCCCCCGGAACAAATTCCTGAATACACCCCTTCCTTCATTCCTATACAACTTATTTCACAAATTTTTTAAATCCATAATCATTGATATTAATTATTTTCAATCCAATCCAATATTCTGTCTACAGAAATTTACACCATCAACATTCCTTCATCTGTATCCATCTAAATCAGCATTCATATAAGCATTTTGTCTGGATTTTCAACAGCTATGTATTCAATATGTGTTATACAATTACCACTTTACCTGTTACAAGACTGTCAAAGTAAAACTTCTATTTCTGACATTGATTCTAATGAAAACATCAATTTACTCAAAAATTATAGCAATTTTGTAACATTGCATTTTCCAAAATGTTTGCATTAAATTTCTTACAGAACAATTCTCTTTAAAACTCAAACTTTATAACTCAAATAAAAATTAAGTAAAGAAAAATACAGGGTGTCCCACGAAACATGACAATAGCAAGACGACTTGAAAGTCGTCTTTGGTATTTGAATTTATTTGTGACATTTAGTCTTCTATCTACTTTAACATGTATGATTCTTGAAACAATTATCACATAATTCTCCTAGCCCTGGCATTTCCAAAAAGTGGTCTGCGTTTTTTGTGCTTTCAATATTACCGGAGATATAAAGAGTTTGGTTCAGATTTCAATTTTGTTAAATAAAAGCAAAATTGTCGAAATCTGAACGAAATTCTTCATATCTCGGGCAATATTGAAAGCACAAAAAAGGCAGACCACATTTTGGAAATGGCAGGACAAGGGAAATTTTGTGATTATTATCTCTAGAAATTTACTTCTAAAATTAGGTTGACAATAAACGCAGCAAATTATATCAAAAATCAAGACGACATTCAAGTCGTCCTGCATACTGTCATGTTTCTTGGGACACCCTGTACGTAAAACTACGTATGGTAAAAACCTAAAAACTTTGAAACATTTTTTGGTACGAAATTTACGAAAATATACGTATTTTTAAGTTTGCATCAAACTTTCAAACTCTAAAAAATACAACTTTTTAAGTATAAAGAAAAAATCCTAAAATATACGTAAAAATACGTAAAATAAAAACCTAAAAACTTTTAAAAAAATTTCTTGGTATGAAAGATGAAAGAAAAATACGTAAAAATACGTAGTAAAAACCTAAAAACTTTGAAACATTACTTGGTATGAAATTTGCAGCTAGGACGGCTAGGGGGCCGAGATCTGCGGCCACATGTCTGGACCGACCTATGAAAAGTGCCCATCCGACCTACGAATAATGCCCATTCGACCTACGAAAAATGTGCCCATTCGACCTACGAAAAATGCCCATCCGACCTACGAAAAAGGCCCATCCGACCTACACGAAAAAGGCGATGAGACCTGTACTAACGTGTCCAATTGCGACAGCTTAAAGTAGGTCGGATGCACCTAAATGCTGTTTTTAACGTGCCCATCCGACCTACGGTCCATCGGACCTACCACAGCTGTTAAAACCACGTGCTTGTAGGTCGGATGGGCAGTAGAGGGAATGGGCGTAGGTCCAAAAATACACCATCGTTCAAATGAGAATCCACCTTAATATAATTAAATTTGAAAAGGGAGGTCATATCAAATGTCGTCTTTTATAATACGTAAATAAAGCGCAATTGCCGCAATTAATTCTAAAAGCAGAAATAAGCGCACGAGGGTAGTTTTGTAAATAATAATTCAGCTTAGCTATCAATCTTAACACTTGACAGAATATTTGGTAATTTCCTAGTATACGATTTTTGGCCCCCCCCCGCCCCCCCCTCCCATCAATTTTGTACATGGGTGTTACAGGAAGTTTCTTAACTTAACCTAACCCGTGGCCGCAGCGCTCGGCCCCCTAGCCCATCCTAGCCGCAGCGCTCGGCCCAGAAAGTATCTTAAC